GATGTGACTGCAGGAGGTGCTGAGTCTTGGATTTTGCGTTTTAAAATAGCAAGAGAAACCAAAGCCACGCTGCTCCCAGCTGGGGTTAGACATCAGTGGGAAGAGGAAACCAAGAAGTGCATAGGCACCATGGCCTCCAGCCTTTACTAAGACTTGCAGGAAATCGTGCTGCTGGAGGACACAGAAACCGGAGTCCACGCCAAGCGTGCCAAAAGCGTGCCAAAAGCGTGCCTTGGAGCCAGCCATGAGCCAAGCTCCCAGCTCGGACCTCCATCGTGACTGGAGGAGGCTGCATTTATTCTGCTCGGTGGCAGCAAATCTGCATCACCTTTACAGCCTCTTCTAATCTCTCCAGCTGTTTCTCTGCTCTGTAGCTCGATTTTGCCATCTGCTGTCATGTCTGCAGCAGCACGTCCCATTTCCTCTTTCTACCAGGCTAAAATTTTCCACTTTTTCATGCATTCATCTCACACCGTGCGGTTATCTCTGTTCTTTCCCCAAGTCCCATGATGCTATTTATTCTTATTTCTAATTTCCTATGTACGCAGCCACATTCTTCCCTTCTGCTTGCTCTTTCTTAAGCTCCAATTAGATTCCACCTTTGGAACCCAGAGATTTATTTATATTGACCTTAAAAAATGCCTAGGAAAGCACATTAAGGCTAAGAAACAAACCTGGAAACATAATGAAATGTGCTGCTGAGATGGAAAGGGACCATCAGAGCAGTCAGCTCCAATAAAGTCTATTAAGAGAGGTCTCATTAATCTCAAAATGATATTTAATTCACTTCTCTGGTTTCTCTTTAAAGGAATTGTGTTCCTAACTCGGTGTTTGCCTTTTTTTTCAGTATTTCCTCCTGTTTTCTCATTAGCCAATCCCATGTCCCAAAATATTCAGATCTCCCTTTTTAATTGCTTTTCTGTATTTCTCCATACTAATTGGGTAGTTCAGTCATTATCTCTTCACATCAGACCTCCTTTACCCAATTTAATCGGTCATTTTGATACAGACAATTGTCCACAAAGTACTGGGGTCCAGTGAAAATTATTACTTGGACCAAAAGCTAAATCCTTCATTAATTAACCACATTGCTCCATGGAGCAGAGCCAGACTCCCCAGATATAACACCATTTAGGCTTGCCGTGGACTCCAAACAAATTAAAACGTGCTTCGCCCTAGCCACAGGCTCCCAGCACAAGCCCATAAACGCTGCAATAACTTCAGCAGCTCAGAGCACTGGGGAGAGGCATTAAACCTGGATGATTTCAGGTCTTAGTGCTTGGCAGTGTGAGAGACGGTGGGAGGCAAAGTCTAGGGGGACTGGAGTTTTTTGGGGAAACGCATGGCATCTTTAAAGCAAATGGCTTTGCTCATTGGCAGCTCTCTGGGAGGTACAGGAGGGCAGCAAGGGCAGGGCGAAGGTGCACACGGGCAGACTTTGCAGGGAGACACGCTTTTCAGCAAGTTCAACGGGTAGCAACAAGTTGTAGCAAAGCAACTCTTGAGGAAACCTGCATCCCACAACACAACAGCATGAGCCTCACAGCAGCTGCCAGGGGCCAGGTTGCCTTTTGTCAAAGTTTTCCCAGTCTGAAGCACTGGCCCCTGTAGGGCTTTGCAGCTAAAACTCTGTGTATTGTTTTAAGCTGCTTACCAGAGGGTTTTCTTGGCTGCAGTGCTTTATCTTTACTCAAGTGCACTTCTTCCTTGCCTCCCAAGGTAAGTGTCTTAAAAATAAAGGCTAACATTTCCAGATGCCAATGACGTACTCTCTGACAGTCTTTTCTTTCTAAAAACCTGCTGCTTTCATCCTTTTTTTCCTCACTAGACCCAGAAACTGCATTCTGGGGTTTCTGTTGCTTTTGGAAAACAGCATTTCTTTTTCCTCCAGCTACATTTTAAAAGGCTCCCTTTAACCTTTCACTGAACATACAGACAGCCAGGGTCAGTTCCTCAGAAATTACTTCGATGTATTTTCATTTAAATACAAGCCTCCCAGATTCCTTGCTTCCAATTGCCACTCTAAACCCAAACCTCAGCCTCAATAATTGGGGTGGATAAAAAGATAAATAAAAATGCTCAGTGACATAAGTTACACTTACAGCTTCCCTACGGCATTTCTGGGCTGCATTTCCACATGGCTGATCAGATCAAACTCACTTTGTTGGCTCTGATTTCTTCTGCCCTTGTGCAACTCCCCAAAGCAGGGCCTTGCAAGTCCAGCCAGCACCACAGCAAATGTGCTAGAACCTTCCCCAGCAAGAGCCAGCCCTGCTCTAAAGAAGTCATTAGTGCAGAGCTAATTAATAAGAGCAAAAGGATTGGCCCAGCCCTGCCAATTGGAAGTTGCAATGAAGATATTGCTGGCTTAATTAGCAGGTTTACTTGGGGAGAAAAAAAAAAAAAAAGGTGTTGGTTTGTTGGGTTTTTTATGAGGAGTACATGAAAACTGTTTGGGTTTTTTTTTTCCCCTTTTATTTCGTACAGATTTGTGTGGGATTCATGCCTAGAAGCTGTGTCGGGTGCCAGCCCCCCGGGCTCAGCACGTGCTGTGTGTTGGGGACAGCAGCAGCCACGCTGAGCAGCGTGGAACAGACCCAGGTCTCAGCTGACCAAACCCAACCTGGGAGCCTGCAGCCCACATCCTCTGCTCGGGGACTCTCTTCTGCCTCCCACCGTGCCCCTGGACCAGGGTGCTGAACCCAGGCGAGACTGAGAGGGACCCCAAAGAGGAACCTCCCCTGCTCATCCCTAACTCATGGCCTGTGAGAAGATGCTGTAGGGTCAAAAAGTCTCACCGCAGCCCTGAGCATGACTAGCAGGGAAGTCCAGAGCTGCCACACAATGTTGTCTTCTGATCAACTGTGATTCCCACAATGTGCTCTTACTTCAAGTTGTCGTTGCCCAGAGTTGCCATAGCAGGGACTGCTGAACTCCAGGCAATGGAGACAACAGTGTCGTGGATTTGAACCTTCTCCCGTGCCGTTCCCATCATCGCTGCAGCAGAGTTGGTGAGGACCCCGATGAGATACATGAAAGCTCTGCAGCGTACCCCATAGATGATCCCCCAGCCTCCATGGCCAGTCCCACTTCACTAATGCCCCCCGGCTGGTTACTGACTCAGTCTAGTTTTTAAAGCCTAAATCTCAAGCCAGCTGAAACACAACCAAAAGCCCCCTCAGAAAGGGTGCAATTAGCATGGTGAAATGATGGGCTTTGCTCTGCCGTGCATTGCTGATCTGCCCCGCAGCCACTCAAAGGCTCCAGTTTTCCCAGCTGGGTAGAAGACAAGGTCAGTGCTCCAGAGCTATCACTATGGCAGCATTTACAGGGCTTGAGGATAACAGGGAGGATTTCGGACTTCCCTGGACTGCTCTGTGCTGCCGGCAGCCCTGTCTCCTGCTCAGGCAGCCCAGGGCCAAGCCAAGGTCCACAGCGTGGAGCTGAGCTGACCCCCCTGTGCTAACCACACACGTGCCCATGCGGTCCACAGTGTCCAAACCATCCTCATCCTCAGGGTCAGCCCTAAGCACGACACAGGGATACGTCTGAGCCGTTAAACAGCCACAGCCTGCTTGTCAGCTCTGTGACGCCAAAGTCCTGGGAACAGGGATGGCAGGTCCTGGCGGTGTCCCTGAGGATGGGGTAGGAGTTTGGGGGCAGCTTGTTGCTGCGGAGAAGGACTGGGGACAAATTCTGTCCCCAGCAGCAGCAATGTTCTCCCCCACAGCCCTTCTGTCCCACCAGAAGCAGCAGCAGGTGAATGCCACCCTTCATCTCTTCTTCACTGTTTTTAGTGTCCCCAGAGCCTCTCCATGGAAATCACAGGGGTTTTACCTACACTACTCAGAAACACTGAGGTGGCTTCACCCACCTCCCATGGGCACCTGGAGGGACGGCCAAGTTTCCAAGATGTGGCTGCGCTCTGTGTTGTGCTTCTCACCTGCAGCTTCTCTAAAAGATAAATGGGCAGCACTCGTGGGACTGGGCAGCCCAGTCTCATCCACACAAAACCCAGCCAGACAGCACTATGCTAACCTGTGACTGGGTGCTGGGTGCCCAAATGAAGCACCCCGGGGCTGGATGGTGCAGGTCTGCATTGCTGAGCAGACTCCACCACGAGAGGTGCTGGGTTTTGCAGGTCGTTGTCGTGAGGACAAAAAGGCAACTCCAAACAAACGACTGGGGATCCCTTTTGCACATCACTGGGGGAGACATGGATTTACAAATGAGTGGTATGGGGGTTTATGCCAGCAGGATAGAAAAATTTCCCTACAGGTTGGTCTTCTGGGAATTTTCCCACCTCTGGAAATGCTGCACAACTTCTTTGGAGAGCTGAGACAGCACACCAGTCATTTCAACACCTGGGGAATAACTAACTCCTGTTCAAATGCCTTAGGATGTGGCATAAAAAATACAATTGCTAGTGGTAAATTACAAAGTTTATTAACATACTCTCCAAGGGTCGTTCAAACATGCTGAATCACAGGCAGCATTGGTACTCCTTAAGTAATCTGCTTTTTTGATTTATACTCGCAGCATTCTTGTGGCTTAATTTTTCTCTTGATTATATAAAAGCAATAAGAACTGTATTTGCTGATTTTTTTTCTTTTTCTTTTTTTTTGGCAATTTGAAGTTAGGCAGCATTCTATGTTTTCTTCTCTCTTCTGTTCCTCACAGTATAAGTTGTATTCAAGGAAGTGCATTAGTAAAAATGGAGGAAAGCAGATTCAGTTCTGTAACATGGTATTAGTAAGAAGGCAGATGCCAGAAACACCTATGAATAATGCATAAAGCACCTTCTCAAAGAAGCTTCTTCATGCACTGCATTTTAAAGGTGACATGGCAAAATTTGCACAAAGATTTTAAATTTTCACAGTTGAAGCGTTGGCCTTTGGTTTACACCCATTGGTATTTTGAGGGCTCATAAGCATCTCTCAATGCAGCATGAAACAGGCCCTCTTCATTTTCCTTGGCATCTACGATGATGTAGGAGCTCTTCATAGGGAAAAAACGCTGTTTTCTCCTTCAGCGCCACTAAAAACTTTTTCAAGGTCTTCCGCTCGTCCAAGGCTGTAGTGAGAAGCATAGATCACTATGGATGGGGCAAAAGCACATTGCTGCTTCAGAGCATCCTGTCTTTTATTTGTCACATCAACAAATTCCCATTGAAATGGAGACCAGAAGCTACTGAGTCCACTGACTTCTCTGGTGTAAGAAGTAAGCATTGCACCACTGAAGTATTTACCTTGCTTACATTCTTCTAATGGATAGGAAAGGGCTGTTCAGATCTCATAATGGCAGCTGTAGGATAACCACCATGGGATTAGAAAACAGTCCCTCCTTGGCCCCCAAGCCTTATCTCCTATGTGGGGTATGCAGTGGGAGACCATCTACCATTGAAAAAATTATTGGTCTTTGGCAAAGGGATGATACTTCACTGGACTATCCTGTGGTGTGTCTAGAGAAAATCCTTTTCTGAAGATAAGCCAGAAGACATGAATTTTTCAGTACCACCCGCACAAAGTGACTCACCATACTTTCCTATTTCATGTCTGCCTCAAAGCAATCACCTCAGTGATCACCTCAGATACCTCAGCGTGACCCAAAGAGTGTGTGAGAAGGTGCAGTGGCCCCATGAGAGCTGCAAGATTTATCTAGCGGTGGAAAGCTTGGTTTGCCACACTGCTGCAGTGTGCCCTTCATGGGGCCCATTCTTTGTGTATTGGCATGAATTACCACTCCATGGAGGACTGTCCATAAATCCCTGATCCCTTTCTGAGCAATCATTTTGTCAGTTGATCATCATAACCATTTGTCTCTTCATTTCTTTAAAATACCCCCACCAGGGTTATGCTCTGGTACTTGATCAAAGAATAAAGCAGATTAGGTACTTCCTTAAGCTGGGTTGCTACATAACAGTGAGTACCAGTTGCCGAAGTTCTCCAGTGCTCTGGATGTCTGTTCATCAGTCCACAGCAGCAGTATCCATGAACCACTGTTTGATTTTCTAGGGTGAAATTATCTGAAGCTTGCTCATAATACAACTTTGGTAGTCAGCACCACAAGCCAATACTACACCATTAGAATCAGTGGCCAATACCTTCCTGCCTCTAAGAAAAATTACATTGGAACTTTTAAAAGAAATTACAAAATGGATTACCTTTTAATCATAAACTTCTTTGTGTGTTTACCTAGAAGCAAAATAATGTTAATGTCACAATGGCAAAAAGGAATCTGCAATTCTAATGAATCAGTCAAATGAGTTCAGAAGCAAAGATAGTAAGTTGCAAAATTTCTGTGGGCTAAGCAGAAAAGAAAGGATCTCATTCTGATTTAAGTTACACCAATGTCTGTCAGGAGCAATTCCAGGAATCTATGGGACCACTTTACTATAAAGCAAGAGCCAACAAGATGAGCCAGACCTGCAACAAGTGAGTGAACAGGTTCTTTGCACAGGCTTCCTCCTCTGCATCCCCACCAACTCATGCTCCCTGGTCTCCTCGTGGTGACACAGTCCTGGAGTAAGGACAGCAACCCCCATAAAATGAACAGAGTGCTGTCACAGGGCCACGGCAGATTTACCAGAAGATTAACCAGAGATACAGAAGGACATCTGCACTAGGCCAGCATTAGAAACGTTAATCAATTATGTGCTTAGGGATACTTACGTTTCCAAAACAACAACGAGAGCATCAATATGAAAAGAATGGACACCGCTAGGAGACAGGCAATGAGGATGGCATAGCTGGGAAACTGGAAGGGAGAAAAGAAAAACTGAAAAGGCTTTAGACCTGTTTACTTCAGACCTATTCACGCAGGAGTGCGTTGCCCTGGCGGCTAAGAGCTCTGAAATATCTGCATTGGGCTGGAGTTCACAATGCTTTTCTGAGCTTGCCTCTACAAAGTATGGAGAAGACACATCAGGTTGATCATGATAAACAACACGAATTACGTTAAGTATTTAATAAATCTTCCTCTGAAGCATTTGAGCCTAGATTTGTCCCACTTAACATGAACGTCTTAATAAGATGTCTAAAGTAGGAGCTTAGTCACCCTCATCCTTCTCTCAGTTAGAGACAGGGAAGCATAACAACCCTCCTAAGTTGCCTTTTGCTTGGCCACACTAGGATGCTACCTTTGCCTCTCCTACAGGGGCGTCAGGGGGATGAGGTTTTTCTGAAGTGTCCAAGCCAGATGGGATGGTCACAGACTTTGGCTCTATCCACTGGAAAGATGACTAGATGGTTCCTGAGCTTCTAAACAAAAGTTCAAGCTACTCTTTGCAAACACTGGCCCTTTAGTATGAATATATCGAAAATCACTAGCATGTCCTGCTGTCCTTCTGGCTTCTTGAAACTTAGAGGAAGTTTTACCTTATCTCTGTTAACATCACGTTTCTCAGCATTGCTGTCTGAACTCGCTGAAATAAAAGAGATTGAAATTATTACTGGCACAGTCACCTGAAGGAGTGAGGGCCACTGTGGTTGTCACTGCTTTAGTCAAGGAGTAATGAACTCTCATGGAACGAGGAGGGCAAAGTCTGGCCCTGAGTAGGAGAAAAAAAGCACCTTGCAACCAAAAGGGAACAATCTGTTTCCGCCACAAATGGTCTGTCAGGCAGTCATTGGGAAATGTCAGTCTTCATCAAGGAAAGAGGAGGCTTCCCAGGGAGAGCCCATGAAGCAAGACAGTAGAAACCAGTCTGCTGTGAAAGAGTTTTCAATTCTGTAAGCATTACAAGATGTCATAGAGAGCAGAGGTGGTAAACAGGGTACAAGTCTAAGTGGAGGAACTGCCTCAGTTGAACTGTGGTCAGACTTAAGTGTGATCGCAGGTTTTGCAGGCTGCGTTAGTACTGAAAACCACAGGGAACTTCCTTACATTCAGATAACTTACCACAGTTTTAGGAAAGCTCTATGAAGATAATGCATTTTTTTTCTATCTAGGGATATTAAGAATAATTCAGTTCTAGCTTTCTAAGCTTTGGAAATAGGGGCGAATTAAATGAATGCTCAAGAACCCTTGCAGCAAACTTTTCTGCTGTTATTCTATGATCCTACTCTCTTACTTTTGCTAGTGAATTTAAAGTCACAAAAAGTTAATCTAGGCTTGGGCCTTAGCTCATCAGGACCTCATGCTACAAAGTACTGAAATATTTAAGTATTTGGAGCACTTGATCTGTCACAGGAAGCGCCCAATGTTTAGCAGCATCTTAAAAACAGAAGAGTCACTCAGTTTAGTGAATCAAAACCTCAGCTTGCATCCTGTGACAGGAAAGCTCCTATGCCTTAGGTCATGCCCTAATGTATAGAAAGACTGTGATGAGTAGTGCTTTCAGAGGTGTAACAAGAGAGCAACCATAGATCCTCCATCTGAGCAAAATGTACCAAGGACCAGATGAGTCAGTTGTCGAGGCATCTCTGTGTAACACACTTGCGGTGCTGAAGACCACAGCCAAAGGAAACTTTATATGCATGAGACACCCAGAATGTCACATGCTGATGGGGGTGATCAGGTGGTCACAAATAATCCCATTAGAGAAAAAAAATTGCTTTTTTCTACTTTTAACTTTTCAGAGTATGTTATTCAGTGAATAACCTAATCTTCCCCAAATTCCTCAGTTCTGATCAGCTCTCTATGAGAGCTGAGTTGATTTGTCTCCACATACCAAATAATGTGCTTGCATTTTAACAGACATGGACAGGGCACAGGTAGCTCATACACATGCAACCGTAGCTAGAAATTTGCACTAAAGTAGAAAAGAGATTATGGCTAATAAGCACTACAGCTAAACAAATATAGGTAATAAAACTCTAGCAAGGGCTAAAAATCCCAGGGATACGTGAACATTGCATGTTGCTGTATGCCTGTTTTATGGGGAAGGGCAGGGCAGGGCAGGACAGGGAAGTTCAGCAGAACTACCCCCAAATACACAAGAAGTGCATATCTCCCTCCAACATACATGTCCCACAAGTCAAAATTAAACTTTCTGGAAGCATGCCACAGCCTGGCTGATGGGAACGACTATTGCTTCTTACTTTCCATACCTGGAGGAGCAAGGGTTCTCTCTGGGGTCTGAAGCGTGGTTGCTGCTGGAGGGGTTGTTGCTGGGGAAAAGCAGGTGAAGGCAGAAGAGAAACTAAATCAGAGCCTGATCAGCAGGAACCAACCACCCCAGCTAACTCAACCTATCTGCCAAGAATCGTGCTTGGAGATGGAGGGCTCTCTCAACCATAGGTTTCTCTTCCAGCCACTGTGCTAACATCAACACAGAGTTCAGCAACAAATTAGCCTTCCCTTACATTACAATAAGGCTGAAGTTGGTCCATTTAGTGCATTATTTCACAGAGTAAAAGGAGACTGAGTCAAGAACTTAACTTGGCTTATGGCTCTTACTAGACAGTGCTCATTTATGCTGCAATGTTTTCACACATTATGACGGTTTGGCTCTCAGAAATAGCATGACACAAGTTTTTGCATGGGTGGGAGTGTACATGAGTCACATAAGCACAGTATATTTTTCTGCTGTTATTGCTTTTGTGATAGCTCTTTCTACCCCACAATCACAACTTAAGTTGCCCCCAGAATCCCAGAGGTAAGACTCTTTGCAAAACTTCCTGTTTACAATGGCAGAATATAGGCATTATCCAGAACTCTATCAGAAAGATGACAAGTGAAACAGGGATGAGAAACCCTCACAAATGCTCAAGAGACCAGTTTAGTCTCTTCCGTGAGCCCTCTCTGGGGCATAAAGCAACAGTTTCCTAAACTCTATTTCTGTTGTAAGTCTCTAAGTCTAGCAAAAGAAGACCTGCAAAAATCTAAATACTGTGTTTTTAAGAAAGAAGAGATTCTTGGCACTACTTGAAACTAAAGGACTCTCTTAACAGCCAAATATGACATGTCATCCTTGAATTTTAGCTTTCCTTTTTTCAAGTCCTCGTTTGAGGACATCTGGTGAGCAGGCTATCACAATTGAGTAACTTGAGCCATTCTACTTTTATACTTGACTGAGAGACATAAAGTGCAATCTTCATGTAAGTTTGTTCATTTCCCAGACATGGTAGAATTTTGTATACCAGTTCCTTCTCTCTTGAAGAACTGACTGATATTTGTGGTAAATGCCTGCTGCTTTCCATCATGACCAAGGACACATGTTAGGCACTGGAGATGTGAGCCTGCAGCCACATCTGGCTGAATACACTCAGTGAGGTTCAAGGCTCACAACACTCAGGGAGGATTTAAAATGGAAAGCTCAATGAACTCACAGTGATGACAAATCAGATATCTGAGGATTCAGCTTGGGTGGTGACAAAGACCAGTTTTTAACTTCTCGCAGACCTGAGATACCCAACAGTAGTGAGTGACTCAAAGTCTACTTCCTTTAGAGGCTTAAAAACATGTTTTTCTCAGCTGTTGTTACATCCTGATCTCAAACAATTTCTGTGTGGACCCCAGACACCTCTTACTTCCAGATGCAATAGCTATCAGTACACTCTTAAGAACGGGCAACCCTTTTGCTTATGACAACTTCTTCATTTCTTTGAACGTGCAACTTCTGACCTCGCAACATTATCCTACTCACCTGTAGTTGGCATGCCTTCCACCGTGAGAGAAGTGTGAGCACTTTTAGTTCCCTCTGCAGTCGGAAGTGTACTTGGCAATTTGGTAGTCACTGAAACAAAGTAAAAAGTAATGCTCATAAAGATCACTGATTAGGAGGGTCTTCATATGGCATTCAGAATTGCTTGCACAATTCTGCATCTGCAGCTAAGAGGTGAAAATCTGCATCTTGGTTTTCATGTCTGCAGCTCATCCTACCCAGATAACTGATGTACTTTACTAGCATGGCCAGTGTTCACATGTTTTAACTGCTCAGCTGTGGATGTAATTAATTGTTTCCAAGTTTAACTGGGGACATCGTTAGGGCTGGAAGACAGGAGATGATACAGAAAAGCTGTCCTCAGAGGTTCAGGTCGCAAAGAACTCCAAGTGATAGAAGACCCCCAAAATGTACAAAAACCAGCCTTGTGTGCAGACATCAATCTGTGGAAAATAAGTTACGGATGTGGATAAGTAGCAACCTAGGAATGGTTAGGATAATAATAGGTCACTCTGATCAACTAAATATTAATAATAACAGCAGCCTTCATATGGGATGACAATGTAAGTACTCAATTTTAAGCATGTTTTGAATTCTCACTGACTTGATTGCTCATGCAGAAAATGCTCTAAACTAACCTTTTCAGCAGACCGTTTCAATTGTCTTTCCCAAATCAAGAAAAAAATCAGTGCATAGTTGAGTGAATCTCTCTTACTCCATCCCAGGTGCAGGACTTTGCATTTATTTCCGTTGTACATCATGAGGTTTCCGTCACGTTATTTCTCCAGCCTGTTAAAACTCCTCTAAATGCAAGCCTGACCCTCTGTTATCTTGGCCATTCACCCGGGTTTGGCATCATCCACAACATTTGACCTGTGTTTCCTTACACCTACTGAGACAGACCTATAGGCATCTCAGAGAAAACTTCCCAGATACAAATATAAGTATCTAGAGAGTCTCTATGATGCCAGAGACAGGCTAACACAAACCATCTCTGCTACACAGAAAAAGGAAAGGATTGGTGCTGGTTACCCTTTGTACCTCCAGGAAGAGGGACAGACTCTGCTGTGCAGAACACATCGTCGTCTTCAGTCTTCATGTCAGCTTCTTGGAAATCAGTTGGAAAATCTGGGAGAGCACTGGTTGTCTTCACAGTTGCTGGAATAGTATAATTTTCTGTGACAGCAAATGTTGGGGGATCAATGGTCTCCAGTGTAATTACTGCTGGAGACTCGGTGGTTGCAATTGTTGCTTCGGGGACGGTGGTTGTCAGGAGGACAGCAGTCTCTGCTGTTGTTTGATGATCACTGGTTTCAGTTGTTGCTTTGGGGATGGTGGTTGTCAGGAGGACAGCAGTCTCTGCTGTTGTTTGATGATCACTGGTTTCAGTTGTTGCTTTGGGGATGGTGGTTGTCAGGAGGACAGCAGTCTCTGCTGTTGTTTGATGATCAGAGGTTGCTTTGGGAGCAAGAGTTGTTTTTCTAAAATGTTTGGGGGAAACAGGAGCCTTTCTTGTGGTGGTTGTCATCACTGGAGGGGCTGCATGGAAAAAACATAGCCAAGAGAAAAGCTAGATCAGAGCATTCACAACTGACCCTAAGTAAAGCCAACACAGAAATGAATGAAAATTACCTAGCTGATAAAATACTGAGAATGAAGGTGGGAGAGTTGCTATTTAAAAAGGTTGTTTAATTAGCAGAAAACACGCCCCAGCCAGAGTAATTCTCAGATTTACAGATTTGCTTTTCTTTTTTTTCAGTAGGTTTCAAACAACCCCTCCTTGACCCTCTTACAGAAATGGAAGGGCCAGAACCTTGTATAGTAGAACCCCAAAACTTGCAAACTTTGTGATTTTGCTTTTCAATGTCCTCCTAAAAATAAAATAAATAAAATGGCTCGATTTTCAGCTACCACCTTCTTGCTAATCTTTTCAACCAGTCCTTGTTTATGAACTCTGTTGCCCTCAAACTCAGGGATAGACATGGGATTGCAGCATTCCCCCCTTGCCCCGTTACATAGCTTACAACAAGCATACAAGAGTGCTGTGTACATCAGCACCAATTGCATTCCTGAGCACCCTGTAAAAGTAAAAAAAAATTATCTTTCTGCAGTGTGGAGGGTGGGTACCATAACTTTTCCTGTGCTTTGCAATGCTTTTCAGCTTCTTCTCAACTTTGTAAGACCCTATTATTTTGCTGAGCTGCAGGATAAAGTGAGGAAGGGGAAAAAGTCCTTTAAGGCTCCGAGACAAAATTTCTAAACACGTGGGTCTCCTTATGACGTGAACCAAATGAAAGCCTTTTTGGCATTGGGGTTCACCCCAGATGAAAAACTGAATTTCATTCCAAGGGCTTTTCAAATGATAAAGCCCTTTTTTAATTCCATCATCTTTCAAGACATCAAATATAGATATACAATGAGAAATTAAATATTTCATTTGAAAGGCAAAAATAGGGTAAAAGTTACTATTTTCTCTTCAAAACTGCTCATTGAACGTGATTCAAATTGACAACTGGTTGCAGACCACCCTTGAAAACCACATAATTTAGGAAAAACACTTTTTTGCCAAAGCAAACAAACAAAGAAAGCACATGTAGACTCCAATTTTCAACTCCTGTCCAGTAAGAGTTTTCTCCCTGTTGGCTGTATCATGAAGGCCCCCAAACTCACCTCTGACCACCTCCAGCCGCATGTTCCTTTTGATGTCATTGAACCAACCTGGGATCTCTACGCGGCAGCAGTATATACCTGCATCTTCTGCCTTCACTTTCCCAATCGTGAGAGACACATCTCCATAGGAAATATAGCCCCGGAGACTGTATCTCTGAGATTTTCTGAACGTCACCCTATTCCCAGTGGTGTGCAAAATTTTATTACTGCACTTTGAATTTGGGCAGGGACCTCTGCCCCAGCACATATCGGAGATGTCCTTCTGTCGTGACACCTGGTAGAAGCAAGGCAACTGAACAGGTTGCCCTATTACTCCTCTAACAACGGCTTCGGATGCGGTGTGCGCTGTGGAGGAAGAACAAGGAAAGATGAGCGTTGGCAGTCTCCGATGCATGACTCTACCTATGCAACACAATGAGGCAGGAAAAGAAACACTCCTGCCTGCAGGGAGGGCACAGTTACGGATCCCCTGTGCCTTCTCCTGAAGCCTGGTGCAGCTAACGGCCCCGGGGCACTACAGGTGACAGCCAGGAGCTCGCAGACATTGCCCTGCTGCTGGAGGGCTGCTCACAAAATACATCGCTCACATCAAAGATGTGGTGAGCAAAGCTGAGGTCTGTCACTGGCAGCCCAAGTGCGGAATAGACCTCTGCAAATGGAGTTTGGGAACTCCGCTCCCATCCCATCTCCTCTCCTAAGAGACCATTTGAAATTTGTTCAGAAACCTGGTGTGAAACACATCTGGTTTTCTCAGTTCACCATCATCTCCTTCAAAAAGGAAATGCTGTCACAGTTTCCTTTCACTGACAGTCTCAATAGCAGGGTCCAAAATACCTATTCATGTATGAAATTAGGGCCTAATTAAGCTGGCAGAGCAGTGGGATCTGTCTATGGGAACCTGTTCTCAGAAAGGGCACTGCTTTTTCTGTTTCTGAGCAAGTCCTGTCAACTATCCCACTTACTTTTCAGAGCACTGTATACGTAGATGTTTTAACTGCTAGCATTATACTGATGTTAAAAAGAGCATAGGCATGCTGTCCTTGTGCTTTTACTCTTAATAACCAGCTTTACTTGGTGTTTACAGCCAACACCCACCTTAGCATCTGGTTTGAATCTTTGCTACATACTGCTCCCTTTTAACTGCCTATGCAGTTCCCAGGTTGACCTAAAAGGGTTTTCTTCTTCATGAAAGGCACTATACAAAAAAGGTTCCCATACAGGAACAAATCTTTTCTGGTTTACATTCATCTAGTCTGTGTCGGTCCTCCTACGTTGTTGCCTTTTTTCCCCATGTTATCATTTACATATGGTGGAGCAGGAACTCGGGGACCTGGGGAGCATCCAGATCTGGTTCTCTGCTGCACCAAGAGGATCATCCTGCAGATCTGACATCTCATGGCCAGCTTGCTTACCCCAAAGAGGACTTACAGCAGTTGCTGCTATTATCACCAGCTTTGGCCCTGGCTTGCCAAACATTTCTATTTTGCCAGCTGTTTGAATGCCTTTTCTTTTTGGCATGACTCCCAGATAGCAAACAGATGCTTCCAACTGTGTCCATGTCTCTTTTGTTTTGTCTTTAATGGACTATTCCCCAGGTGAGGTTTTAGTCTGTGGCAGGCTGCCTCATGACTTGTTATTGGGATGACATTTCAGCTTCATTATTGCTTATCCCATTGGCAAGGTAAGCCAACTCGTTCAGGTTTCCACAGCTCCAAATGCTAAAAGAGTAGAGGCAGACAAAACAACATGCAATATGGTGTGAAGGGCAGAAGCTTTTGCAGTGAAATGAAGGTAGAAATGTGCCAAAAAATGAATTCCTGAATACAGGATAAGGCTTTGCAAGATGGCTGCTTGTTTTAGTCCTTGGAAAGGGTAGGTTCATTTGCCTTGTTACAGCAAAACAAACAAAGAAAACAGCCTCTTTCTGTAACGACAGAACAAAACGGTTCATCCAGTTGACCTTGAAAGTATCCCTAGAGGAGCAGGGCATTAGTCACTGAGCAGGTTAACACATATTTTCAAGTCACCCCAACAAAGATATGTGCAAAACCACAACCAGCTTGAACTGTTCCTGGTGTTAAGGTCACTGCTGCTTGAGGCAAAATGGGCTCATCTTCTAATCTTATTTCATCCCAGTGCTGCACAGCACAAAGGCAGCTTCATTAAGCAATCCTTTAACAAATGAAAATTTACCTGCTTTTCTCTTTGAAAGAAGCAGAGCTCTGAACTTATTAAATAAATAAGTAAATAATAGAAGGAAGAAGAGGGAAGACAAAAGGCACCAGATTGTCTCCAGTGCAGTTTCCCACCAGTATTGTGCTAGAAAGTTATAGGTTTTGCAGTTTCAAATCCTCTTTTAATTTATGTGAAGCTAATGTTGCTAACATCTGCCTGCCCTGTAGGTTGGTATGGAAAGCTTCAATACCACAACAGCCTTGATTCAACAGTATGAACTTCTGCAAGGACTAAATAACTTTCTTCTCAGTTGCAGCCTCTTCCACAGATACATTTTCCAAAAGAACTAGTAAATAGCACTGAATGAACAAGTCTTTGAAATTAAGAGGTTCCTGAGACTGTTATATTGTGCTAGTCTCACTGTGGGAGGAATCCTACCCTTGCTCGTGGCAGATTAAGCATCCAGATTTGACCCAAGGCACCCTGAGCATCAGCTATGCCTGGGTAGTCCCACTGAAGTCAGTGAGGTTTGCCACTCTAAATCCTTAATCCAAGTGAGGGAGAAATGGACTCCAGATGTTTAATATATCTTCCAAAATAGAAAGAGCTATTCATAATTGTTCAGATCATGCAGATATACACATATTTATATATACTCTCTCTTGAACCAACCCTCAGTGACAGTTGGTATTAAGCAGTAACTCCAATAGTTGCTGTTGTAGTGGTCTTCTCTCCTGTAGACTGGCCATTGGATGGACAAAGACGTACATCCTCCAGCAAAGACAGCTGGCCAAAAAATAATTTTTTTTTTCTTGATCTATTTCTGGAATAATTTTCCTTCTTTGTAGAAGATACTTGGTATCTTTTCCCTATCAATCCTATTTATTTATTATTTTTTTTTTACTTCTTCTTGAAGATTCTGTACTGATGAAATTGCAGAGAAAATGACTGATAAACAGAAAAGATGCATTTAACTGACCGCTCTGCTGGTTTCCTGAGCCTCAAGACTACCCATTCTCAGGACGGAGCCAAGTTAAAGAGAAGGTAACAAAACAGCCAGTCTCACCCTTCAGTAGCTCTGCATATAAGAAAGTTTTTGAAAATAAGACCAAATGGAGGCAAGTACCTCCAATTTATTTTGAGGCTGAAGATATAGCAAGGAAAGAGACCTCCTGTTTCTTCTGCTGAGACTGGCAAAAGACAAAAAATACAGCAAAGCGTTGGCAAAGCTCCGCTTGTGCAGCAGACACCGTGGAGGTTGTGTTACCTTGCTTGAACAGGGCATGGATCACCTCTTGTCCCTCAGTGTATCTCGCCACTGAGCAAACTTTTCCACTACTTTTCAGACCAGTTTAAGAACACTGCAGTTGTTCTAGATGTTATACATAATATTTCATCCTGGCAGAGGTTAGCCAATTAATATTTAGCCACCTGAGACAGAATTTCCTGAAATGCTTAAGTGATTTAAAAGCACAGCTCCCATTAGGAACTCATGCCCCACTGAAAGTGGGTGAACCCACATTCCTGAGCCACCTCAGGCAATTTGGAAACTGCATTGCTGATACTTAAATGCGCATGCAGAAATGTAGCCGATGCCAACCACGCTTGCAAGACCCAGTCTCCCAAGTTACTCTTCTTTGACTTCTATCTCTTTTAGGATTCAGATTTTAGATGGCTGAGATGAACATTTGGGAGTAAAAGGAGAAGAATCTCCAGCTGTGCTTTTCCATACTCAATTTATAGCAGCAGACAGCCCTCAGAGTTTCAGAAAATCTTTTCTTTATCACATATATACATTCATTACTCTCTCAGTATTTCAATTCCCTAGCTTGGGCTGTGTCAGCACTGTAGTGTGGTAGAGAGACAGATGAAGCAGCAAAGCCAGAAGTACACATTTAACAGTAGTAAAGAAATTAGTTAATTTGTGGGGACAAGAGAATTAACCAAGCCCATACACAGAGGAAACCACATACATTTTTAAAAAGAAAAAAAAAAAATTCTTGATCAGTATTAACTCAGTAAGTTAAGAAAGTTCTGTATATAATTATGACCTTTTTCACTGTTTTGTTTTCACAAAACAAGTGTCGCTCTTCTTAATTTTATAAAATTTTTGTTTACTGAGCAAGCACACAAAAAGCAGGTGAAGACTCACCTATAAGGATCTGTATCATAATCCAGTGAAACAGCACAAAATGGGACATTTTAGCTGATGGAGACTCCAGGGCAGCGAGTGGAAGGAGAGAAAACTGGATCTTACGCTTTCCAGAGATGCTGAGTGAGCGCCACTGAAGTCTCGTTTCTCCATTTCCAGATTTTATGTACCACAACTGCTTCTTTCCTACGCTTCCGGACAGAAGCCAGTCAAAAGAGGTAATTCTCCTGCTGTATTTAGCAATGGTGCGGCCTCACTTTAAGAATTGTGTGCAGTTCTGGGCCCCACAATTTAAGAAGGATATTAAGGTCCTTGAACGTGTCCAGAGGTGGGCAACAAAGCTGGTGAAAGGGCTGGAAGGGATGTCCGACAAGGAGCGGCTGAGAACTCTGAGTTTGTCTAGTTTGGAGAAAAGGCAGCTGAGGGGTGACCTCGTTGCTCTCTACAGCTTCCTGAGAAGTGGACATGGAAAGGGACGTGCTGATCCCTTCTTCCTGGTATCCAGCGATAGGACATACGGGAATGGTTCAAAGCTGCACCAGGGGAGGTTTAGACTGGACATTTGGAAGCATTTCTTTACCGAGAGGGTGGTCAAACACTGGAACAGGCTTCCTAGAGAGGTGGTCGATGCCCCAAGCCTGTCAGTGCTTAAGAGACATTTGGACAACGCCCTTAATAACATGCTTTAACTTTTGGTCAGCCCAGTGGTCAGGCAGTTGGACTAGGTGATCATTGTAGGTCCCTTCCAACCGAACTAGTCTATCCTATCCCATTCTATCCTATCCCATTCTCCTTCCTCTTCCAAGACGCTCAGCATGGTACTACCACCAGAGATTTCAATGTACTATTTGTTTTGCCTTTCCATGGAACTCTTAAGGCCCATTACTGTTCTGTGGTGCTGAGCAGCAAGAACAAGCTCTGTGCTCTTACACTCCTAAGTATTTGGCTTAGTCTCCACCTCTGACTTTGTCTTCACTTACATTTTCTTAATCCCTTCATTTCCCCTGATTCTGCCTTCTGCTTGAAGACCCTCCTCTTTCTTTCACCAGATTCATATTTTCTATTCGTAAAGACAGTCTTGCAGAGACACTCACAAATGTTTTCCTGAAAAAATAAATCCTTCCCAAAAATCTGCAACACCAACTCCAAGAAATACTTTTTAATCTTTCTGACTTTTTTTTTTACTCTTCCTGGCCAATTGATAAAGAAGTTATCTGAAAGTTCTTCTCTGGAAATGAGTAATAAAGCAAAAGTAATTCAGGGCATTAAGGTCAGGAATGAAGAATTGCAGGCAGACAAAACTGTGTGCAAAGGGGAGAAAAAATTCCAAGTTCAAATGATAAAATGATGGGCTTTAACCAGACATTACCCCCTCAGAGAGGAGATTTTGGGCTTATCCTGAGTAGTCAAGCCCATGAAAATGTCACCCCTCTGCTTTTTAGCATTAAAAAAGGCCAATCAAATTTTAGCAGTTATTAATAAAGCAATAGGAAACAAAGCAGAAGACAGCAATACACCACTGTACAAATCTACCTTGGATCCTATGTATAGTTCTAGTCCCCTCAAAGCATACGTTAGATCCAAAAAGGATTCCAGGAAGGGCAAAAAGAATGGTGGAAAGTATGGAAGAGCTTCCACAGGAGGATTAGATGGTAGTCCATGATAAGTTAGCCTGGAAAAGAGATAACCTACCGGGAATAGGTCTACAAAATCTTGGGTAGCACAGGAAGGTTGGGGAGGGATTAGTTGTTCAATATCCACCCCAACACAGCATCAGAGAAGGACTCTTGTGCTTGCAGACCTGTTGGACTCAGTAGTGCATTGGAGTAGGAGGCTACCTCTCATTAGCATCCTCATCCCTCACACCACCACTATGTTGCACTAGCAAGAAGTAGATCCCCAATAGACCAGGCTCCAGCAAAGCCAGGGTGCCTGGTTCTTTCTCCGGCATGTAGCCAACTGATGCTCCTGTACCCAACTTAGTGGCAGATTCAGGCACCGTGAAACTCAGAGAACTATTCTGAGTTTATTCTGAATCAGTGATGCTGCAATGCTGATCTGTACCTTCACATGCTTCAGTGCAGCATAAACAGCAACCACTGGGGATAGACACAACAATAGAGCAGCGTCTTATTGTCAACATTATAAGGTAGGTTAACCAGCAATCAGTAAAATATCTAATTTGCTGTATTCTACCAGGTACAGTTCATACAATGCCAAGTACACACGGCCCCAGCTGTTCTGTGAACAGAACTAATGAAACCTGATGTGTCCAATATCCTGAAGACTTTTTCCCTGCAATGATCCCAGTTTGTCCTTTGTCTCTCATCGCTCACTATTAAGCAGTGGCTTCAAGCCCATGCCCAGCTGATGCCAGTGCAAGGAGCAGCTGAATCCCACCTGGGGCACAAATTTGGATCTTTATCCAGCTACGAATTTCCATGAAGCTTGTCAAAACAGAATTGGTCAGTATGTTGCAGGTGACTAGGGAAGGAAGAGAATGAACACAGCATCATGTAAGCTTTGTTTCTTTAGCAAGACTGGGCTAAATGCAGCAGAGTGAATTGAGAAACATCACCCAAAATCCAAGTGTGCTGGGAAGAACCAGAAAAATGTAACTTGCTTTCTGCTTCTGTACTGCTATCTAGTGGCTTCTTGCAGGCAGAAAAGGAAAGGCAGAGAACTGTCTCAAAAAAAAATCAGTTTGCAGCTCGTTAGTTAGCCATATCACACTCAATGTGCTGCCAGTTTGTGTGCAGCTGGATAATCTCCTAATGGGTGAACAGGCTCCAAGTACCACCTGCACAACTCTGGGGCTCATTTTGAAATGCCTCTTCCAAGATCCACTGACATAAGTGGAAGTAATGAAAAAGTACAGGGAGCTTCTGCCTGCATGTATTTGCATGTATTATACTGCATATCCAAGACAAAGTTCTTGCTCCACACAACCTTTGCAGAGTCTGTTTACCAACTAACTGCACAGCAGAAAGGAAACTTTAATAGAGATTCTGGTTATCAGATATTCTAGAACCTTATTTTGCATGAAAACTCTCTGATATAAGAATTAGTCTGTAATATTAAGAAAAAAAATCCTTATGGGCAAGCAGTTTTCATGATTAGCAGTCTTCAGGGATGGTCTTCAAACTCCTTAAGAGCATGAGTGGTTGGAACCAGGTAAGTTTGGAAACCCCACGCTTGTCTGATTCCAGCAGAGACTGATTTGGTAAAATTCCAGAAAGCAGAAACTGCTGAAGATGTTTTCTGAGATCTAGTTCAGAGACCAGATCAGACTTCCTCCAGCTCCGGTCATGGACTAGAACCCACAGCAGCCACATGCTAAGCCAGGCAGAAAGCAAGCAGTGTCTGCAGTGTGGTCAGTCATTTTAATTTAGTAATTGCTATTAATAGTTAAATACAAAAATACAGTCTAACCCTAGCAGGTTCTTTCTAGTTTCGGTACCTTCCACAAGTCAACACGTGACATGAACACAGAAAACAGCAGAGCTGGTTTCCTCCACTGCCTTTCCTGGCCTAGGGATCAGTGATCACCTAATCCTGTGCTCCCACACCGAGCTCTTCAGTCAACCAGGAATTCACCTCCACGTTTTCAACCCTTTAGGTCTGCTCCGACAGACAGCCCCAAGACAACACAGGGCACAAGCGAAAACACAAAGCACACCAGGGTCACCTATCCCAACTTGCTTTCCGTTTCTTCCTTCCTCTACAGGATGAGGAGCCTTTCCCTCCTTTGTGAGCCTTTGCAAGCACACTCACCAGCAGTATCCCACCTTAGCCAGGCTCTCCAGGACTCCTGGGGGAAAACACTCCCCTCCCCAAACTGCTCAAGCCCTCCCATCTCTACCAGCTAGGGGAAGGATGGGTAACTGCTCCACTGACCCCAGCTCCCCTTAAAGCACAACCAGACTGTGGTCCCAAGTGTCTCAGCTGTTAACATAAATACCTACTGATTTTATTATTAGTCCTTTACGCCTCATTGGATAATACAGCTTTGTTCTTCACATGACTCCCTTGAAAATTAGGAACTCAATGATAGAAAGTTTGCGGTAAATCCGCAAGTCTTCCCCATGTCAGCAATGTCTCCTCTAGGTGTTCCACATTGCTGCTTGGGATGAGCTTCAGGGCAAAATTTGTACTGACCAGTATTTGCTAAGAGTTGGTCTCTCTCCTGCTTGTACTACTTTTCTGCTCTTTCAGGAATTCCCCAGCCTCTGTTTAAAAATGCACTCTTAAAAACAATTGGGGAAAATTAGCCTTCCACTTAAAGCTGATTTGGGCATGTTGTGTCTATTGCTCAACTACGCATGAAGCGTTGATTCATCCTCACGTGGCTGCCTCCATTTCTTTAAGTAAACCAAAGTTTAGTGTTGCAGAGAATAAAAGCTGAGACCCAGGTCTAACTGAGGAGCAGTGGAGGAAAGGCACTAGGCCACAGATACTCCTACATAAACTACATTTATGAGCTAAAAGCCATCAAACAAATTCAGCATAAGACATGTGAGTCATTTGGTATCTAGAGGGGTGTAAAGGCAGGGCAAACTTTCAGCCAATATTGTGTGCAATGTCCATGACTTTTCCACAAGCTAAGAAAAGTGAGAATTTAATTAACTTTGCAAAGTAGATATTTTTTGTTCAGTTGTTTTAGAGGCCTGGAAGTAAGACTTTCCGCACTGAGGACTTCTCAAAGCATAGGCATGCCCAAGGAGAAAGCCACAAAGAAGAAAGATGACATATTTTGCAAAGGAAAATGCACTTAGTCAAGGTTCTCTGAAAACAAGCTGTGAATATTCCGCACATTGAATTACTGATCCTGTAGGCTCTGAGGACATCCCATGACAGGTTGAGCATCAATAGCTCCTCCAGATTTAACTGTGGGTGGAGAGCAATTAATACAGTGCATTACTGAGCTGTTACCAGGACTGGTTATACCCGACCTTAATGAAAATTCCACTAAATGTATATTGAAATACTAACACTACCAAGTTTTTCCATGTGTCATCTTTGTGATGGCAGCTATGAGATTATTTCTGCCCTCTGATGGCATGAACTCTGTTGTAGCTGGCAGATACAGTACACAGTAAAGTCAAGTTTTTAAAAAACTTGTGTGGTTTTCCTTTAGAGATTGAGTAGCTATTCTGACACTTCCTCTTTTTTTCCAAAAAGGAAGAGACAATTTGAAGCAGATAATAAATATAATGGTAACTTTCTTTAGGGTTTGATAAGTGGATTCTGGAAATTTCCATTCAAGCCAGTAGGGTTTCTGTTTCTGGAACAGGCTGATAAAAGTTTTTAATTAGAAGTGTAGCTTTTATTTGTTTTATTAGAATGATGTGAATAATGCTTCAGTAGTCCAGTCACATTTATCTGCTGAGCAGAGGGAGCAGCTAACATTTTGCAAACTATTTAATGTCCCAGAGATGACAAAGGCAAGCATGCATATAGTCCTTAGTGTATTATATAAATGTTTTCCTCTGCATGGATCTCATCTTCCAGGGCACTATGGTTCCCTGCAGCTTCTGGCCTCCAAAATGCAACAAAGCTGCACAAAAGAGTAAAAACCATGCTGTTAAACAAAAAACTGACAATAGAAACACAGACAAGCAGATAGCTAAACCAACCACCTCACTGGAAAAATATAAAATATGCTAAAACACTTAAACATGACTGATAATGAATCATTTTTCCACTTATGAGACAACCCACACTTGAAGTTTGCATGCTCCCCAATGCAATGACCTGACAATTATACTCATTTTTTGCTTACTAACTAATAAGTAGCAGGATTTATTAATTTCTTTTTGCAATGTTTCCTATTAACTTGAATTTTTAAAAAAAGTCAAAGTATATGCTGAAGCATTCTGACAACACTTTCTTTCTGCAACCTAGTTTGTCCTATTAGCTAAAGCATAAACAGAACACTTACTTTGCAAAGTCACCCGTCTTCTTCGTATTGTATAAATATTCTAAGGACCATCAAGAATGAAAATAAAGAAAAAAAGACAGAAAACATGATTTTGTTTAAACCATTAGAAGTAAAGTAGTGGGTTCAAAAAGAAAATTCAAGTGTAAGAAACTAAATAAAGGAACTTTAAACAAATGTTTTCAGTATATAGGAAATCCCCATTATTTCCATGAGATCTAATTCATACGTCTTGGTCTGACCAAAAGGCTCTATGCAGAAAGTCTGGCACATAGAAAAAATATTGCATACAGTTATATGAAACCAGTGCCCCTCCCATTATCATTGGGAAGGACTGGGACAACATGGCAACCGAGGAATGGCTAGGAGGAAATGAGTGGGGCAGGAGAGGCGGGCTCGTATCACACATCTCCTCACCGGACCCCAGCTCGACTGGTTGCTGAGGAGTCCGAGACATAAAATGACGAGGCCACGTTCGTGCCTTGCTGTTCTGTGCCCCCGAGGCTAAGGGGGGGAGCTGAGCAAGCAACCCCAGCGCAGGGCAGAGTGAGGCCATCCGGAGACCTTAGCTCGCTTCCCTGAAGCGGAAGACGTGGCATCTGGCACAGCTGTGATCAGACGTACATGACCAATCCTTGAATAACCACCCATGAAAAGTACTTACGTCTAGCGAGGAACAGAGCCAAAATAAGGATGGCTAGAAGTACTGCACATAAACCAATCCCGATGTATAGGCTGTTTTCTGAATACTGCTGACTGGGAAGCGATACAGACACATTCTGTCAAAAACAAAACAGATGAGCATTAGTGGCATTGAGAGCAAGAAGCCCACACGGTACCAAAAGGCAAATTTGTGTGTTTTGCAAGCCTGCAGTAAAAGTACACTTGAGAGCAAGAGCCTAATTTGAGATACAGGACTAGTTGCAAGCAGAATCACTGCAACAGTTGCATGAACCATGCTGTTAAACACATTACTTTGAGATTGTCAAAGAACCTGAAGTTATTGCAAATCCCATTTGTTCAGGTTTAATAGTATTTGGTGAATATTTTATTTTTTATGATTAAAGTATCTCCTGATGTCACACCCTCCCACCTTTTTGTCAGCTTACTCAGTAGTTATTCAAGGCTTTATACCAAAAAGTAAACACGCCTCCTCCTTGCAGTGGTCTTTATTTAGCCAAAACTTCTTTCTGAAGTCAGCCATTGGACATCTAACCTCTCATTAGGAACTCAGGCCTGGAAAGATGCTGAAGCGCAGGATGGTCCTTGACATTCATTCTGCACATGCAGCAGTATGGAAGCTCACAGCACATACTGCCTTGTAGTACGTCACAGCAGGCCTTCCGAAAGGCTACCTTGGCTGTCTTGTCTTCCTAACAAAATTTGGGTGATGTTGCTGCCTGTCACCCTGCAATATGTGCTGGAGGACTCAGCAGAACAGACACAGAGCTGCCTGTTTGAAGCGCATTGCAGAGGGAGTGCAGAGCATCCCTGTGCTGTCAGGTGGTCCAGTTTCAACTCGTCCCCTTACCCTGCCATACCTGCACGTTTGCAGTTACATCCGAGCAGTCTGAGGTGCTTGAGCAGGGACCAGAGGCCTGAAAGGCAACACAGATGTTGCTAACGCTCTTCCTGCATTAGTAGGAAGTACTTTATGCATGCAAAGCAGGTTTTCCCCCCCTCCTTTAATAATGAGCACATAAGCATTCTTTCATAAGCACTAAACATGCAGACCACAAAAAAAAATATTCTTTTGCAATCAAACTAAAGCAGTACAAGTGAACTGTAAGGATGACCCAATAACCTCTCAGGTCTACCCACTTTGTCTAGGTATGCTATAGCACAACAGAGATGCTTACGGTCTGAGGAGCTTCCGAAGCAGAAACCGACGGCCACGTTCTTGTGATGGTAAAGGATGATTCACTGGTGCTCCCTTGAGCTGAGCAAAGGCAAGACAAATGCATCACTTGCACAGAGAACCATTCTGCCTTGACAGAGAGGACTTTGTACTGCTGACTTGGGAGTGCCAAACTTAAGTATCTCTCTATCAGGAGTCTCAGCTCTGCATATCATAAAGAGGTTGGTACCTTCAGCACAAAACTCTAAATATTGCAGCCTCTGCTGCCCTTTTCAGAGCTTTGAATTCCTTCCAGGAAACACTTAGCTCTTGCTGCTATACCAACACAGGGCCTGGAAGGAAGGAGTTACCAAGGCAGGCATCTGGTTTTGGAGCAAAGCAGCAGCAGTGGATGCTTAACGCAAACTTAGGTTATCTGAGGAAAACCGATTAAGGTTAGCTCAGGGCCTTGAAAGTGCAAGTGGTGCAGAGCTGGAGAAAGAAAGTGATAACTTTTAAAGTCCCAGACAGCTATACAATAAACAGACTGACCAAAACGTGATATATTTGTGTAAGGACCTGCAGTATATTTTGAGGTAATTTCCCAGAGCAAAGCTGTTTGCAATACTTAAACTTCCGACCTACAAACTTATGTCTTCCATATCATCAGTCTCAGTTTCTCCATGTGTTGTCAGATGATATACAACCCTTCTGAAAACAAAATCTCCTGTTCACATTATGACAACACCAGCTGGTTCCTTTGACATTTTAAATTGTTACCCTTCTCCCCGAAGCTTTACTTTGAAGAGGACAGGATCATTTGCTTCACTGTTCTCTTCCATTGGAGATGCTGGAGCACTCCTATATCAGAGGCACATGACCACCTGCCTTTTGCAGTCTCCCTCTGTGTGAACACCCACATATTAACTTGTAATCTGAAAAGTTACTCCACCAGCAGCAAAGGAAGACGTCACAGGGTTAAGAAAACCCATGAGTTCTAAGATTGGAAGCTATGTTATTTGCAACTAGAACAGAAACAGGCTGAGAAAGTTTTCACTTCTTCTTCCAAAAAGGAAATGCAACTGTGGTAACATTTTAGAGTTGCTTAACTGGAAATATCTGAAATGGAGGGAGAAATACAAATGGCATCCCTGACTTTTCTTTCAAAATCTGGAGAACAAGCTATTGTTACACTATGAGCTCTCTCTTGTGCACTGGAAATTAAAGTTATCTTTTTCAGACTGAGAAAGATGCAGCTGAGTGGGTATACAATAGAAGTCTATAAACTTGTGAGTGGAATGGAGAAACCAAGTGAAGAATAGTTGTTGACTGTCCCTTCCACTACAATGAAGGGCTCACATTACTACATATGCATAGGCTACAGAGGATGTGGGCAGCCTCCAAGACACAAATCATACCAGGGTAGATGAATACTTTGGCACTGTATCACAAAATTACTGCCCCATTTCTACCACCATCCTTAATCATCTGCTGTTGACTGCTACTGAGATAGTATCCTGAATCAGATGCACTTTTGAGCTAGCCTAGTAAAACAGTTCTATGTTATAGAGCAACAAATAAATTTATTAAGTAGTGGGCACACCCAACTCCTAAAAATTTGTGTTCTACTATTCATGGGATGCATTTCCTGAAGATGAGGTGAGATTTTATACCACAAACAAAACAACATACCAAAACAACAGCCACAAGAAAAAACAATACTTGCAGCACCAATAAAACATCTACTTAAGGATAACACCTGCAAGAAAACTTCCTCCCAAGTATACATGTTCCTTCTGCTGGGCTCTCTATATACTGTCAGGCAGATTTTAAATCCAAGTTCTGATCTCTGGTTCTATGGTAATGTTTAGTAAATTTTAGCCAAGACATTTCTATCATCTATCATTTTATTTCCTTCCTAAGATCCCCATTTGCAATATAGCCTATATATGCTATTGAGATTAATACTTGGATAAAAGTTACCTGAGGTCTGTTCAGAGGTGTAAGTGTGAGGACTTGCAGTAGAGATCCTAGCTGATGTTAAAAAAATAAAACAAAACCAACATACGTTATAATTAACCTTAGTGTGCATTTATGTAGTGAAAAAGAGAAAGCATTTCTATAATAAAACTTTGCTAGCATCAGCCACACAAGTACATGTCAGCCACTTGTTCCATATATTATCATGCGTTTTACAAACAAGCGAAAAAAATAAAAATCAAAGGAAGAGTTGATTTAAAAAAATCATCTATACTAATTTTGTGTCCCTGGACTTTCCTCTGGAATCAAGCAGGGAAAATGAAGTGCTGTTTTCTATGAAAAGGGTCAAGTATAACACTTTCTATGAATTAAGTACCCTATGCTGCCCTTTCTCTCAAATTCTTCAAATAGTGCTTCTAAGAAAGCGCAGTAGTGCTGGGCACCATGAAACAAAGCACCATGTCCTTTTTTAATTGCAGTGATTGCACTGGGATTACAACAAGGCCAAAGACAGCTTAATTTAAACAGCACTAATAACAGACCTGCAAAGTCCTAAAGATCAGTCCTATGGATGATTATAGAAATCGTTTCCACCACAAGCTTTGAAATCCAGACTCAGCAGCAGGTTTACCACAATAGTACTGACACGAGAGAGCACCTCTGCACTCACCTTTCTCTATCACAACCTTGTGATTACTCGTCTGATCATTGAACCACCCTGCGATCTCCACGCGGCAGCAGTATATCCCACTGTCTGCTTCCTCGGCGTTCACGATCGTGAGGGACACGTCGCCCCTTAGCAGGTTCCCTTTCAACATATACCTGCTGTTGTACCGCTCTGTCACCTTCCATCCGTCTGTCCAGATAATGGTCCGATAACATTTTGAAACAGGGCAGCTGTCACGACCCCAGCACATCGATGTAATGTCTTGTATCCTATTAACAGTGTAAGAGCAGGGCACAGTGATATTCTGGCCAACCCTTCCTTTCACAAGTGATCCCGATACTGTGGGGCCTGTGGACAAAAAGACAAATGTCAGTGTTGAGCACAGTGCATGCAAGCACATCTTGCATGACTTGATACCTGCCATCTTGCAAACACCACCAGGCATGGCTGGATCAGGTTTTCCACAAATAGATGTGAATCCCAGCAGGACTGATGAAGTGAGGGATAATGATCGGGCCAGTGGTTTGTTCAGAATGTGTCTCTAGCCAGAGAAAGAAATAAAACACACTTTCTGCAGTCTCTGCATGTAGGCAGAGAGGTGAAGAGAGAACAGAATTTGGATCTGCACAACTTGGTGGCTTCTCTTTAGCCATATCCAGTCTGTTAGCTCTTTATTTTTTCCTTAGTTCAGATTTAATCCAAGCCACACACAGGGGAACAGTAAGACATTGACTTTCATTATAACCATTGTGGGAAACTTCCTCCCTTTCAGTGAAAAGCCACTAAATCAATCACAGGTTTCATCAGAATAATCACTTCTGAACACGTTTCCTTTTTTCTTGCCTAATGACAGATTTTGCCTACTCTTATCAGAAGAGATTTTTCAGAGCTTTTTGAGAAATTTTATACCCTCTTTTTTTCACAACCTTATTTTCTTCCCTCATTCTTATGCAGTTTCTAACTTGTTAGGTTCCCATTAAAAGTCATTTTTCATGTTTCCAGAAGGCTGTGTCACGCTATTCAAGTCAAAACAGCGAGACCCAGCAGCCAGTAGCCCATTCGTCACAGTGAGATAATTTCTTTTGCTGTATTCAGACCACTCCAGTCAATATTCCCTTTAGGAGGGTTTTAATAAAAGCTGTATTAAGTGCCAGCCAAAATAATTTGTGCTCTGGTGGTCCACTCATAGCCATCCTGTAACCACCTTCTTCTAACAGGTTACATACACAGTGGGGCTCCTGAGGTGCGCATTCTGTCTGCTTGTACTTCAGAGAAAACTGTTTGCCATATACTTACCACTACACATTTCTTATAAAATTCAGTAACGTGGGACCACACGTGTAAATACTTCGATCTATCCGTATTAACATTTCAGGGATAGAATTCTCTGCAGCAAGTACAGGCAACAAATTATCTCTATTAAAAGTCTAGCCCACTCTATAATTAGGAAGGGAGCTCCCCGAGGCAGGTCCGCCAACTGTACGGCTTGATTGCAATTGTCCCTTGTGAAAAAGCTGTTCTCCCCAGCTCAGCTCAGTCATTTTCCCAACCTAAGCTATTATAGTTAAAAATAAGTCTTCATTCAGAAACTTTGCCACAATAGCATACTAGAAACTAATCTCTGAAAAGAATGTATTTTATTGAATATAAAAAAAGCAAGCTCTAAATGAATCACATCATAAAAGGCTTTATAAAGAACTAGAGGAAATAATATCTGCAATATCCCTTTCTTTCTACTGAACATATTCTACCACCAAATTTTTAATGTCTATCTGCCTATACTAGTACCACTCTGCAACCTGTTGTTTACAGTGCTATTGCCTTTAACAATATTTTCCTAGAAGCACTGCTTTCTCAGAATAAAAAAGGAGAAATTACCAATTTGTCCCAATAAAATTTCCCATTGGCTAAAAAACACCAGGAGCCACAGTTGACCTTTTCCATGCCTTCCTAAGCATTCATCTTCACAAAGCATGTTGAAGTGAAATATCCTTGTTTTACATCTTTTCTAAAATGATTTAAAGTGCTCATCTCAGATGTTCATTATCTAAAAAAACGCAAAAGATCATTCACTGATAAGACTAGCAGACAGCCCAAGAATCAGCATATTTAAAACCATCATACCCTCAACATGATTTTGTTTTAAAAAGGAGATAAGGCCATCAGAAGACTATTGAGCCACTGTGACAAAGTTCTATTCGTAACACAAAGCTGCAGTTTCTGTGCCATGTAGCCACTCTTCCTGTTGTAATGTAAAATCTCTCTCTCTGCAACCCTCAGAAACATTGATGTGTGTTAGCTCCATCCGCCTCCACCTATTCATTTAGGCCCACTCAGTTACCTGTAAAGAGGATCAGAAGAATCCAGTTCATGCAGAAGTAAGATGACATTGTGGCTGAAGATGAGGAACAACACTCCTGTTCACCCTTCGGGCACCTACATTCAAGAAAACTTATCTTCTCCGTAAACTTCTGGTTTTACTTCTTAGTAGAACATCTTTAGACACAGCTGAGAATGGCCTTTAGTCTAATCCGGATTGCTTTTCCTGTGGTTAGCCTGCTAGTCTCTAGCAGCGCAGCCAAGTGCTGCTGCTGGCAGTGTACACAGCTGAACTCTTTCTGACTGTGGTTTGACTAAAAGGCTGAAATACTCAGCAGTACTTCAGAAATCTACTTCTCATTTTTTCCAGATCTCCTTATTACAGTAGATGAAACTGTTGTCAGCGCCACCAAGCTGACATATCTGTAATCCCTTGCCCCATGCTGCTCCCCACACCTGTTTTTGCCATAGTAGACAGAATTTGGATAAGAGATTACAAAGGATATATAACACTGTGGTAAACTGAAAGGACTTGGCAAAATAACAGATTCCTAGGAAGAACTCAAGCATTTAATCGTAAGTTTCTGGTTCAAATACTTGGAAGCAACTCAGAGCATCTTCAGGCAAATGCCATTTTCTTTGTAGGCTATAATTTGGTAGTGTTGGAAAGCTGTCCTACTGTTACACAGTTATAGACTAATAGAGTTACAGTGTTTTTTCATCGTGACTCTTAAAAATTTTGTATGCATCTGGGCTTTTGCAATATAAAGTAAAACATACAGAATACAGAGGTCACTTTAAAAGTAGTGTGGAAACCATGCCATCCCAGGCTCAAGGCTCACTTTGACAAAATGTTGCTGAAATACAGCTTTGGAGAAATGGTGTCCCCTGGCCACCCTCCCTGTCCCCAGATTACCCAACTCTTCTTGAGGCCATCTTGTCTTTTTATATTGTTTGGACTAGAACTGCAGCTGTGATCAAGTGTATTTGATCTAGGACCAACAAATGTTCTTTGCTGAAGCAACTAATCTACCTCACACTGTTTTACATAGACAAAATTAAGTTCTAAGGAGTTACTTTTTATCAATAACTGAAAGAGCAGAAATGCTTCCAAAAACATGCCCCAAAACATCTATTAGGCTAGAATCAGAACCAACAGAGCTGTCTCGCACTGACTACCTTACATGAGAGCAGAGTCACCAAAGTGACAGTTTCTTTAAGTGAAAAGGAGGAAAAACAAGGGATTTAAAGTAGCCTAAAGACAGACAAACACTAGTAACATACTCGTAGGAGAGAAATGAGAGAAAGAGGGATAAAGGGGAATTTTTACACGCAGTTGCTAGAAGCAGAACTCTAAGAAAATGCTGTTTCTTTGCTCCTCTTATTTCTGGGAAAACAGGAAACTGCAGATAGCTGCTATAGGAACAATTCTTACCATTAACAGCAGGATCCTGAAACTGCTCTGCACAAATGGAAAAGGCAGGGCCACCCGGCTCTGGCACAAGGCAGATGACCACATTCACCACAGCTGTGCCACAACAGCACATGGCACCGGCTGATGAACTCCTCTGGGCGGTTCAGCATGCGACAAACCACCAGCAGACCAGGACACGTCCCTTCTGCCAGTTACCTGCAATAACGTGCAGTGTGAGTGAATCTACATGGAATTCTCCTCTGCATGGGCCATGTCTGAGCTCTGAAATAAATACACAGGGTAAGAAAATAAGGAAACTGTTACCCCAGAGCTCTGCCTGAGCCCATTCTACTCACTTCACCCAGGTTGCTTCATTCATATGATAGCCTACAGTAATTCAGCTGCTGGCTGCTGGCTGCATCCCCAGGAAAGCTGTTCTGGTCACATAGTGAGAGAATGTGAGAGCTACGGGGCAACAGTTAACCCGCTTGCTTTAGTTTTCATCTCAAAGACAGACCCTAAGGAATGCCTTGATATAATTTCTGAGTTTCTACATGCCTGTTTCCCAAGTTCCTGTTTTTTATTTGTGCAAGAAGTGAGCACCATTTCTGTACAAAAGGTGCCAACATCACCTTTTTCATGCAGCCCTTAAAGTAGCTGCATGTTTCGTCTTGACTCAGAGCATACAGTCAGATCACACTTTGTGAAAATAAAACCAAACCAAACCATTAAATATTGAAATAAGATTAAAGCATTGCTGGAAATATCTTTTCCTTGTACTATTTTAAAACTATATCATTAAATAGCTTTTCTTCTTTTCCCCCTAGACGATCAGAACTACAAACTTTGCCCTTCTGTCCACTGGTGACACACTTGGCTTCTCTGTATCAAGAAACTTTTGGAACTTTTTGAGTAACTGTACTTCTGTTATCCCTGTGCTTGTTCAGATAGTGTAACAGAAGGGCTGGGCTTTTTTCTTTTCCTTCCCCCCCCCCCTTTTTTTTTTTTGATTAGGAAAACATCCAACAAAATGCTGCTTAATATCTGATGTTAACTTTATCTCATCAAATTTCATAAGGCATATATAATCCAACACATATTGTATACATTAACATTTCAGGGGTATAATACTTCAAATGTCATTACATCCAAAAATAAAATCAGGACTTGCTGAGATAAGAAAAGATCTCATCATTAGAAACAGGTTAATTAACACACTAGAGAAGACAACATTTATAATCAAATTTGCTCGTCAGTGAGTCACATCATCCTACGAAATGTGAAATGCCCATTCCCCTAGACTAACAGGCATATGCCATCCACTGCCTTCACTGCAGCTACAGTCCATTGTTTTTCCCAAAAGCAAAGCTGTAACAGAAAAAGGGAAAACTATCACTGCTTTGACCTGACAACGGAGGAAAAAGTCAATGTTTTGGCTGAAAAAAGCCCAGGAAGCCTCCCACAGCTTTCTAAGGGTTTGCCTTAAACATAGAAAAAAAAAAGCCTAGAACAAATTATTTGTGAAACTTTTTGGAAAGTGAAAGCAGCCTTCATTACTTTTTAAATGACGATCCCTGTTTACCTCAACGGTTTCACAAAACGTTCATTGCAATTGTTAGATGCTGCTAGGACCCAGTATATTAACTATGCAGTATTTTGAAACTATAGTACCCAGGCCTATGACTTTATTAAAAGCATAAAAATTAGACAAAAATCAACAAAAAAACATTGAGCATCTATGACAGTTCTTTTTTGAATGGCAAAGTTAAAACGTCCTTGACAAACCGTAGTTCCACAGTGCAAAACCTCTCTTATCTAAGAGGCACTAAATGTTTCTTCATATCTTCCACATGAAACAACATTTGCAAAATAGATACCAAATTAATTCTGCTCACTTGCAACTATTTTAGTTACCTACAAGCAATATAATTTAGATCTAGTCCAGGGAGAAGGAAGGAAACAGTGGTGGTTGAATAAAGGACAAAAGCGTTAACTTTGTAAAATTATTTACACATTTCTAAAAAAAAAAAAAAAGTTTCTTCTTTTCTCCGTCTTTATTGTTACTTATGTCACTTAAAAAAAGCAGATGATGTCCTCCAATGAGTCAAACTCACTTCAGTTCATCTTTATCTGCACTGAGCTCAATCCCCACCACCCAACAGCTAAATACTTTTGCCTGGCCCTTTAGGCAACATTTCTGAAAACAGAATTATCAAGTGACACAGAGATACAGCTTGTTAAATCACAGTTAAAAAACAGAGTTAGTGCAAGTTCCCTCACTCATAGGGTTTACTTGTTTTTTAGCTGCTCTGCATACTTCGGAAAACATATGTACTACGGTGTTACATGGCAAAAAGATGGAAGTAGGATTTCCCTGACAGGAGGGGCAAAGAAGCCACTTCTTCACTATCAAATCACTCTTTTCCTCTTGCTATGGGGGACTGAACAAACTCAAATGTTCTTTAAACATGATTGATATGGCTTCCACTTGATGGAATACTTGCAGGTTCTTTCAAACTTAGAAGTTCTCAATTAGTATAAAGGCTAACTATCCAATCAGACTCTCCTTCCTGAGAAAAATGCTCAGCTGGGCACAGAACCAACCTAAAAGGCAAATACAAACCATCTGCACTGCAAAATGATTCAATTCATACATGTATATTAACTATGCAGGAAATATAAGTTAGTTTAAGCATCTACGTTAAAAAAAAAAAGAAAACAAAAAAGTAGGCATTTTTGTAAGGTCAAGACTGGTTATGATTTACATCTAAGGAAATTAAAATCCCATTAGTTTTAATTCATTTAGTTGTTGAGACTCCTGGCAGCATATCTCTGTAAGGCAAATTACACTGTATTAAATCTGTGATAAAGGAATTTTTAGGTTCTCTTTAGTACAGTTTTATTATTACAAAACTAGAAGGGAATGTATTTTGCAGACTTTACACTAGTTTTATTTTTACTGTCGAGTTACACATTCCTGAAAGGACCCACTGAAATTGTAAACAACTAGCACTTATTTGAAATGGAGGAACTGTCAGCTACAATTCCTCTCAGTCAGATTCCTTGCTTCCACACTATAAAGCAATTTAAAACAAAACAAAACAAAAACAAAGCATACCTGAAAAAAGCAGAAAGTGACAAACAGAAGTACAACAGAAAAAACTAACTTTAATATGTGGCTACCACCACACATAATACATTTAACAAAAAGTATGCTCTTTTGTTTCTACCAATAAACACACAGCTCACAAAATATTAAACATTTTCATCTGCCTAGTCACTCACAACCTCCAACAGGTGTACAATAAATGCTTTGTGTGCTTGTACTACAGCAAAACAAAATACAACGTATACCCTCAGAATTCATTCTGCCTCTCACTATGGTGAGCTAAAAAAAAAAAAAAAAGTGTTTTCTTCATGTCATTTCATCAATAATGCTACACATTGCTGCATCTTTGTCTAAAACCTGGTCTCTCTTGCCACCAGAACGCTCTCTCTGCTTTTCACTCTGTCCAATACAGTTGCTGCCATCATCAGCATCCATTGCTTCTGTTTTCACTCTCAGTCCTCCCTCTGAATGAGGCAGATCATCAGGCAAGGAAGCCAGGCAGTTCTGAATCATCTCCACAACTCGCTCTAAGTGCTTTTGAAATCTCT